TGCACTTATTTTGCAAAGTTTCAAAACTTAAAGATCAGACTGTAGTGTATTGGTAGTTTACATATTGTATTTGACATAAAAGAGCCTGAATAAATAACAATATTATTAAAAAAACCATTGAATCACAACTTTTTCACAGCTAAAGTAAAGGGATGTAAGGGATTTTCCCCATTCAGGAAGTTAGGGTATATGTTTATATCAAATTAGTTAATTTGGCCATGTTTGATAGCAAGGGGAATTTGTAATTAACTGATGGAGATAAACTATCCTCTTGTCATCTTGTATTAGCTAAAACTTGTAAATTTATTTACATTTTTATGGTAGATAAGAAAAAAAAGGCATTTTAAGTGCTGACTGTTTTAGAAATATTAATGACTTGCTTTAAATAACAGGGTAAAGCTAGCTTGATAATTCATTGCAGTATATTCCTCACTTTTATGATGGGTATTGGTGATGGCTATATTCACATACTGTGCAGGGACTAGGAAGTTGAGTCCAGTAATGTACAAACAAGATTCACAATCTTTGATACCACCATGTTTTTACTTTTAAGTGTTGTTGTTTATAAACTCTAAGAATCTAAATTATATAGGGGGGGGGGAATTTTTTGTAAAATTGAGTATTTTCACCAAGTAGATGCTGTATCAGGAAAGGAAATATTTGGAGATTTATACTGGTATCTAGGTTACGGATCTAAAATGGTATTTGGATGTACATTTTGTTTTGAGATTGTGAATGGTATGTATGTATTAGAACAAGAGCAATATGACGTATATGTTTATATATGTATGAAACAGTAGTGAATTGACAAGGGCAAGGTGGATGTATTGGTTGTTGATATTTAGTGAAGGCATGTGAGATTTATAGGTATATACCTCTTAATAGTGGTTATCTTAAATACATCTTTCTTATATCTTAAATAAGTATAGAAATATATTCGATAAATTTTATACATCTCATTTGGATTTCTCTATTTACATTACTTTTGAATGATGAAAATAAAGGGAATTTTAGTACATTATTGTACAGATGGGATTTTAAGCTTTTAATAAATGATTTAAATGCAATTATTATAAGTGATTTTGTTGAAGAATTATTGCCTCATAGATTACTGGATGATATTTACATGTGTATTCTTTTTGGATTTGGTGCCTAGGTTTAAGTTTGTTTTACAGTTACTATTGGTTTAAGTAACTAATTAGTAAAAACAAAATGGCTGATTGGTTAAAGAAGCTGACACTATAGTACAATACAATTCAAATCAATCCCGCTGCAGAAGCTGAATTCTTTTATTTTAGAAATCTTATTCATATAAGTATAGGGAAGGTCAGTAGATTTATTCTGGTGCCAGTACATTTGTGGGTAAAATGTTGCACCTGAGGTTTTCCTCCGCAATTAATTTGGGCCATATGACCATTAGCTAATAAGACTTAAATAAGGAAACTTAAAGAAAAATTACAATAAAAAAACAGGTAAGGACCATAATATAGGGTTCTTGCCATTTTTATGCCCCCGCCATGTAATGGCCGGGGCATTATAGTGTTACCCTGTTCCGTCCTTCCGTCATTCTGTCATTCCGTCATCATCAGTTTCCGTTCATTATCTTAGTAACGGTTGCACACATTCAACTCAAACTTGACATATGGATATGTCATGAGAAAATACAGGTCAAGTTCGAATTTGGTCATGGTTCGATGATTTTTGGCAGAGTTATGCCCCTTTTACTTTGAAAATAATATGAAATTTTCAATTTCCGTTCATTATCTCCCCAACGGTACAACACATTCAACTCAAACTTGACATATAGATATGTCATGATAAAATACAGGTCAAGTTCGAATTTGTTCATGGTTCGATGATTTTTGGCAGAGTTATGCCCCTTTTACTTTGAAAATAATATGAAATTTTCAGTTTCCGTTCACTATCTCCCCAACGGTACAACACATTCAAATCAAATTTGACATATGGATATGTCATGCTAAAATACAGGTCAAGTTCGAATTTGGTCATGGTTCAATGATTTTTGGCAGAGTTATGCCCCTTTTACTTTGAAAATAAAATGAAATTTTCAGTTTCCGTTCATTATCTCCCCAATGGTACAACACATTCAACTCAAATTTGACATATGGATATGTCATAATAAAATACATGTAAAGTTAGAATTTGGTCATGGTTCGATGATTTTTGGCAGAGTTATGCCCCTTTCACTTTGAAAATAATATGAAATTTTCAGTTTCCGTTCATTATCTCCCCAACGGTACAACACATTCAACTCAAACTTGACATATGGATATGTCAAAGGAATGGGCAGGTCAAGTTCAAATTTGGTCATGGTTCAATGATTTTTGGCAGAGTTATGCACCTTTCACATTTCACTGAAAATAATATGAAATTTTCAGTTTCCGTTTATTATCTCCCCACCGGTACAACACATTCAACTCAAACTTGACATATGGATATGTTTTTGGAATGCCCAGGCCAAGTTCGAATTTGGTCATGGTTCAATGATTTTTGGCAGAGTTATGCCCCTTTTACTTTGAAAATAATATGAAATTTTCAGTTTCCGTTCATTATCTCCCCAACGGTACAACACATTCAACTCAAATTTGACATATGGATATGTCATGCTAAAATACAGGTCAAGTTCGAATTTGGTCATGGTTCAATGATTTTTGGCAGAGTTATGCCCCTTTTACTTTGAAAATAAAATGAAATTTTCAGTTACCGTTCATTATCTCCCCAATGGTACAACACATTCAACTCAAATTTGACATATGGATATGTCATAATAAAATACATGTAAAGTTAGAATTTGGTCATGGTTCGATGATTTTTGGCAGAGTTATGCCCCTTTCACTTTGAAAATAATATGAAATTTTCAGTTTCCGTTCATTATCTCCCCAACGGTACAACACATTCAACTCAAACTTGACATATGGATATGTCAAAGGAATGGGCAGGTCAAGTTCAAATTTGGTCATGGTTCAATGATTTTTGGCAGAGTTATGCACCTTTCACATTTCACTGAAAATAATATGAAATTTTCAGTTTCCGTTTATTATCTCCCCACCGGTACAACACATTCAACTCAAATTTGACATATGGATATGTTTTTCGAATGCCCAGGCCAAGTTCGAATTTGGTCATGGTTCAATGATTTTTGGCAGAGTAATGCCCCTTTCTCTTTGAAAATAATATGAAATTTACAGTTTCTTTTCATTATCTACCCAACAGTGTTACATATTCAACTCAAATTTGACATATGGATATGTCAAAGGAATGGGCAGGTCAAGTTGGAATTTGGTCATGGTTCGATGATTTTTGGCAGAGTTATGTCCCTTTCACTTTGAAAATAATATAGATACATCTTAGGAATAAGCAGTTTAAGTTTGAATTTGGTCGTGGTTCAATGATTTTGGACAAACTTATCTTTCTTGAATGTTGGAAAAATTTTGAACTTTCAGTTTCAGCACTCATACTTTTGTGGAAATGTATGTAGCCATTATTTTGGCTACAAATATGAAATATGCTATTTTTAAAAGGTTAAGACTGAATAATTTCAGTGCCTTAAACATTGTATGGAAATGGTTTGTGTTAACATTGAAAAGTTTTAAGGGCTTTGAACTTAAAATGAAAAAAATAATTTGTGCAAACAAATTTGGAACTAAATATTATAACATCTGAAATTTTGGCTGCATGCGGGGGCATCCGTGGCATGATGACACATTTCTAGTTCTTCTTTCTAAGTGTGTAGAAAATGTTTTGCAAAACTTAAAACTAGTTATTGATATTTATTTGTGTTCCGAATTGTTCCGTATTGTCATATATGCTAATTTACCGGTTGTTAAAATTTTGGGACCCTGTCTGGTAAAAAAACCTGTATCTGTGTCTGTAAGGGATATTATTTATTTTAGTCCTGTACTTTGGATAGCAGCTTTTATGTGTTATAAAGTATGTAAAGCAGATGAACCTTGGCTGTATTTATGCTACACATCTATAATCTTATCTTTTTGATCTATTCATAAACTTCCTCATTTATATTTACAGGGGCTATGTTGACGTTATCATTAACTATTCAAACAAGTGTAAATTAATAGTGTGTTGACATTCAATATCCCTTTTTAAGATAACGTAAATTATATGTGAATTTATTCTATAAAACTGTTCTAAATATGTTGTTTAGAAAGTTACTGTTTCATTGCAACTGGTTTTATACTAATTAAACATGCCACAATTGCAATAGATGGATACATTTTTATATATATATATATATATAATATATATATATATATATATATATATATATATATATATATATATATATATATATATATATATATATATATATATAATACAAAAAAATGCAATTATAAAACTTTTGATAAAGTCTAAACAAACCAGATAAATGGCAAGAGTTTTGAAAAGATTGAAATTCTTAAGAATCCCTAGGAGAATGCTTTTCAAATTAATTTATGCCTATTAACAGGCTGAATATTGTGTTGCTAGTCTACCTTTAATTGTAAGTTCTATATTTTCTTAAGAGTTATTTGAAAATTTAAGTATATTATGAGGAGGTTTAAATCTTTAAGGCCATGGCAGGCCTTTGTCAGCAGTGTTAAACTAAGCATGAAGTCCAGCCATGTCGTTGATTTGCTGTTGATTCTTTAGTTAAAGTCAGTTATGTCCTGAAATCTTCAAATAATCTGCAGTTTCAAACCTACACAGCTTTTCCAGGAAGAGGTTATTCAAATGATACAAAATAATTTACAATGTACATGTGTTTTTTAAAAAGAATACCAATATTTGTGGTGATTAATGGAAATGATGTTGACTATCCTCTGTTACATCTTTAAATAGAGAACTTAGCATATAAAACTTATTTGAATGATGCTGAATTGTACCATTTGATATGAAGGCTCTTATATTATATCACAAAAAACTATTAAGATTTGACTTTTACATTCTGATGGTATATTATGTATATGTTTGTATATTTTCAGAGAGACAAATGATGTAACGATACTGACAATGATGTTTTCCGCAGGCGGTTCTGAATCTCCACAATTTTTTACACAGTTCACTTTGCCGGTCCAGTCCGACCCAAAACAGCGGCGTGCCACAGTGAGCGGTGGTTCCCCCACACTCTCACGACCTTTGTTAGTGATCGAGGACATTGATACACCTAGCAGACCAAAATCCTTCACCATTGCAACAGCATCAGGAGTTATGCCTCATGAAATCATAATTAACTCCCCTTCTGGTAGGTCTTTTTCTACACCTCTTTTTCTAGACACCTAAAAACATGCATACATTTGCTTGAACTGGCCTTTCGTTTTTATATTGGGCTAAGCTTTTATAACTCCTTAGTTTTTGCATTGATATAAACAATATTCAGGCATTTTAAAAAATCGTCAAAAAATTTACGAGTGGTAGTTATTGATAAAAGAATATAATTTGTGAATTGATTTTCTTCCTTATTTTATTAGAAGTATAGTAAATTGTTTAATAAATATAATTTAACATAGTTTTCTTAAAGTACTATTCAAATATTCAAGTAGAATTGTTTGGATAAGCCAGTGAATGAATATTCTTTCCCTATATGTAAAAGATATCCTTGTGACAAGCCTTTAATGTATTGTGCAATTACTTATAGATCATGTACATGTATATTATATTTATTTATACAAAAAGTCATTTTTTTTTTTTTGGCTTTTACAAAATAAATGTGTAAAAAACATATTATTCTTTGGAATAAGTCTGACAATTAGTAACAAGGAAATTAATAAAATTGCATGTTGGGCCGATATAAAATCTTTATGTTATAACTTCATTACTATTATGTGTTTAATAAATTGACGGGATAGAAAAAAATATTGTTGCAAAGGAATTTCTGTAGTTGTGTCAATCTTATAACTATGATTTGATTGATAATATATTCTAAAGTGTCTATCCTATATGAAGTATGTATACGGATTAAAATATCTACTTAATTAATTGAAGAGTCTCAATGTTGTGTTGAGATTTTTGGAATAGACTAAAAGGTGTTGAGGAATGTTTAGAAAAAAGCAAGGATGATTTTATTATGGTATATATTTTTGTTAATTACAATTATAGTTTATTTGTCATAAGTTTTACTCACGATGGTTAAACAGCGTACTTCGAAAATTGGTATCTTGGAAAGCATCTCACATCTTCCTGTATAATCCTTGTATGTCCTTTACAATTATGATGTGACTTAAAAATCAGAAAAAAAAAAAAAAAAAAGGTATCTAAATTTTTATGATGTTTTTTTTCTTTGCTTTTTCAAAACATGATGTTATCTTATACATTTGTACTTTACTTTCAGGAGACCCCAATCTGACAGACCTACAGAGATCAACGTCTGCTGTAGAAAAGAGACAAGATTATAAGACAAAGTTACTTCACCCCTCCTTCTCTTAGAATACAAACCAAAGAGCAACGCTCCAAAATTGGAATTTAGTGTTCTTAAGCCTACACCAAAAATAGTGGAACCTAAAGACAGTGGTTGAAAAGGTGGCAGATATAGTTGGCAATAAAGGAGATTGGTGGAAATAATGAGACAGCTAAAGACAATTCTGAAAATGTTACTAATCCTGATGTTAGTGAAGAAGTAAAAGCAAAAGAAGATTTAGATAGTGGTGTTGAACCTTTAAGTGATGACATGACATCAGAAAGTTTATACGAGCGTACAAGTCAGTCGCCAGAAAGATTGTTAGACAGTTCAACAGATTCTGTTCCTCCCTAGTGAAAGCTCTATTGGAGTCATCACAAACATTGTACTTCATCTTTGGAGAGTTCCAGTCACTCTCCACCATTGAGGAAAGTTCCCTACCCAGCAAAAGGGTAGTAACTCTTGTAGACATAGAAAATAGTACTCTTATGAAACTCTTCAAATTTGAGGTATTATTTTTACATGGTTTGAATTCTATTTTTCTTAAATGCATGACTACCTTTACATTGTTTAAGACTTATTTTCTTTATTTATAAACTTACTTTCTTTGGGCTGTTTTTTTTTTTCACTTATAAAATATGTAATATGTCATGATTATTTTCATATATTGTTTCACACCTTTGCATTTTTATTTTCATTACCATGACACAAACTCCTCGCAGCGGTTACTTCCCCTGATCTGTACAGTAACCACTGCCACCACAAGTAAATTCGGTCGAATATAGCCGGATATATTTTTTTTCACTTTTAATTTTAAAATATAATACTTTATATCATTATAGTTTTCTTTCGTTAAATAGTTATGCTTAATGTACAAGAAAGTAAAAAAATATATACGTATAAAATTATTTTGTAAACATAACGAAAGATATTTTCACTGTGACACCGTATGCATAGTAAAAACAATGGAAGAATATAAACAGTTATTGAACGATTGCACAAAAAGATTTGATCCGGCACTTGTTTTTAAAGTGATAACAAATTGTGATTCTTGAACTTATTTTGTCTGGTAATGATGTAATTATAAATCTGCCAGTTTGATATGTGATCCCTGGCGTTCTGAAACTGGCCGCCATGTTTTTGTCACATGATACAACTATCATCACGTGATTTCAGTGGTGGCAGTGGTTAAAGTAGCAAAGCGTGACGTAACCGCTGTGAGGAGTTTGACCATGACATTGTAGTTTTGGGTTTGAAGAATTAGATAATTTTTCCCAGTAAAGTTTTGAGAGTCTTGTCATGATTTCTCTTTATCAGTTTTAAAAAGTTTCGAATTTGGACAATTCTACAAAGACTCAAAACTTTATTTTACTACCATCTTGCATACAGGTGCTTGCATTTTCAATATGATTTAATTGAAATTTTTGATCATTTGTCAGAAAATGTCTGTCTCGGAACTGTTTGTAGAGAGCTCTTTGCTAGAATTGGTAATGCAAATTTATATATTATTATTTCACTATTTTATCTGATATATAGATATTGATATTTATCACCATACTGCAGGTAAAGAGTAATTGGGGATCATTTTGACAGTTTTCAATGCTAAAGTATAGTGCCAAACTATGTTTCTTTATAAGTCATTTCTTGTATTTTTATTTTA